TTCCGTTTCTAATTTATATCCTCTCCCGTCTCCTATAATATTATCTTGTCGAATGGCTCTTGCACGTTATCTTTCAAGTACGTAGCTACAGGGTGTTTCGTTTCGCTGTGGGTGCACAGGCGCGGTAAAACAACGTCGTAAATCAATATACGCGGGCCACGCGCTCCGGAGGTTCCTTGGGCCCCCGCGTCGCGCCCCCTCCTCTTCTTCTCCTCCCCGAGCCGCCCCCTCCGCCGGAGGCTGTGGACGAAAGCGGGTGGGTGGATGCAGGCAAGTCCTTTTCTCGATTTACAGACTTTTGAACTCTGTAATTAGCTATGCATACATCTTACGTCATATTCGTTCGAGTCACAAGAATTTTCACGTTCAAACGGCTCATCTTATCGCGAGGCTTGGTCCTGGGATAAGAGTTGGGCTAATGGTTTGTAGGCTTTTCTGTAAAATATTGTAGCTACCGTGACTGTTGAATCTTCTTACAAAATGCCTACTTCAAATATTAATAGGATAAAATGTAGATGCAGTTTTCAAAAATACTGCCCCTCCTCGACGCACCTGTAGCCGAAGGCCGTGTACGAAAGTGAATGGATGGGCAGGGGTGTCCCATCCTCATTTACGGAGTTTTGTTCTCTGTAATTAGCTATCTTGCGTTCTCTGACGTGTTGTGTCATAGCAGGGGCTCCTCCGTAGTTACAACCGTGCGAGACACGTCCCCATTGATCTAGAAATATTCCAATGCAATAATTAAATGTAGATTTAAAATATAATTGAAATGTATATTTTAATATTGGTGTATTGAAGATAATAAATAGATGCTGTATCTAAGAGAGGAAAAGTATTAACTTATGAGCGACAAAGAAATCAAAGTGGTATATTTCTCGAATAGATATATCTTTATTGTCATGTGTAATATTCGAATTGATTTCATTCTATTTGTTTTATAAAATAAACAGAATACCAGGTTTGATTGCATCGCGTTTCTTAGTTTTCAGTACCGCCGCAATGAGTAGTAATGAAAGTAGTTCGCCCGAGTTTGCTGTCCAGAGCACTCACGAGAAACGTTGAAAAAATTGACCTGCAGACGATAGAGAGATCCGTTAGCGATATATTATTTATAATTAAGAATTGATTTTGAACTTCTGAATAAAATAAAATGTTTCATTAACTATTTGTGCATTACAAGATATAACTTACAATAATCGTAACTGGAGCATTTTCATAAAAAAACTAATTAATTCTACATGTACCCTCTAGCAGTAGCTAAATCCGCGCCTGATTGGTTGGCGTTCGAATGACAAGATTTCGAAACTCAAACGGTACATAGGATATTTATATTGTGAGGTTTGTCGTAGGATAAATATCTGACTGACGTTCATTTAATTCTCTGGTAGAAATTGTAGATATTATCAAGAGAATATTTAAAGAGTACAAACAGCTGGCGAGTCAATCCAAATGTTTTTTTTCGGAGGTCTAACAAAATCGAGCAAATGTATTTAAAAATGTATGCTAATATTGTCTTGCCAATGCTACTTAATAGATGTGAAAACATGTTATTCAACTTTACAAAATCGCCTGCCTAACTATACAAAACATCTGCTAAGGTGACTTCTTTGATTACTAAGAATTTAATTGCTGTGGTCTTGTATTAGTGTCTTTCAGTGCCCGATTAATTTCTAAATAGCTCGCGATGATTAATTCTGAAGCTGCAGTCACAATGTCTTGCAACCAGCATTAGAGGCCATTATTTCGTACATCTCAGCAGGTTACGACTCACTGAGGACTCGCGTTCGTTACTGAACGAGGACGGAGCTTGCGTGCGGTTGCCTTGCTCGAGGTGTCTGTGCACCGGAGCGCCAGCCGAGGTCGTCGTCAGATCCGCGTTTGTGTTACGTTTGGTGGCAAGTAATGACTGGTTGGTTCACTGTTCTGAATATTTGAGAAGGGGGACGAAATTTTCTAGCATGTGGTCGCCACGCAACGCAGTCTCGCTACAGCTGAGCTGTGATCTCGGTTACTCCCACGCCTTTATTTTTAAGTGTCACATTTGATGATTAATTATTACTGATCTCAGTTCTTTTGGAGGTGACATCTTCTCACTTGAGGTCTTCGCGCCTCGCAGTCTTGCTATTCCAGACTGTGAAATCCTTCACACACTCTGACATGCCCTAATTTTGAAGGGTCACTTTTGGGGGCTATCAATGATTGGTTTACAGAGACCATGCTGGAGTGACTGATCAGAGACATTTTTAAAGACGAGCTCTTCACGCTCGAGGAGGGGTTTGGTTCGTAAGCACGTTGGTTACTTTGGCGTGGATAACAATGCGCACAGTTCACGATTTAGCCTACAATCTTTGCTCATTGCCATACTACAGTAATGGACATTGGGATGATCTGACGCCCAAAATCCACTCTTGTTACGTAACGTCCGTTTGGTCTGAAGGCTTCCGAAATTGATCCAAGGAATGTTGAGCAAACTTGGAGGCGTGTCAAGCGTAGACAGGTTTCGAAGTAGCGACCAAGTGGCGATCAGAGCTTCGGAGCGCCACGCCTCTGCGACGGCCTGACAGGTTTCTATGGGAAACATAGCCTTATTCCGTACGCATCGTGCTTCGCTTGTATCATTCTAGACCTTCTTTTTTTCATTTTGGTACATCTTGAAATGTTGTCAGACCGACAATTATATGAACCACTCATTCCTGCATTCATTCAGTCATCATGCAAAGGTCATCGTCCGTCTGTCAGTCAATCTGTACTATTATCGTCACTCCATCAAGCCATTTGTGGTTGAGGGCGATGTCGACCAAACTCTCTCGCTTCTGAAGAGCGGGACACTTAGACTCTTGGGGAACGGGCGGGCGGCGTGCCACCGGGGAGCGTGGAGGCACAGAAGGGCATTTCGCGAGCGTCGCCCACGTCACCCCCTCCCTCCCCCGCCCCATCGACCGGCTTAGGTGGCTCAGGGCATCAGTTGATGTCACTGCAGTGCCTCAGGCAGGGAGGTCTTAGGGCCCGAGTCCCGACAGTGGCAGACTTTTCTACACTAGCTAGATACCTGGAGGAGCATTCAGCCGCTATCGGCAGGAGCATTCTCCCGGCCGGCTGCTCTGATCAGTAATTTTCCGTTGTTTCTCCGATTAACACCTGCCGAATTCCGGTGTAGTACACTAAAGAACAGGCCACGGACCGCCCGAGATCTTTCCCCTTACACTTACATGCACTACGCTACCGCTCAAGGCAGAAGCCCGGCTGGGAGCTTTGAGCTTGTTCCGGCTGGGGTGGTGCCTCATTGGTGGGAAGTACTTAGTTGGAGATAACCCAGTAAGCCGACGGTAGGTCGGCGCCGGATCTCGTCGTCCAACGGGGGAGGATCACCACCTCCTCCCGTGATAAAAACGTATGCAGTACACTTACTGGACTAATGACCTTCGCTGTTGACGCACGTGGAATCACTAATCAATCAATCAATCAATCCGTCACGTCGTCCCTCACCCTCTCCGTTGCCCGCCCCGCCGCCCGGTCCCGGCGCTCCGTCCCAGCGCCCGTCCCACTCCGCTCCGCCTCCCGCTCCGCCGCCGCGCCTCTACTCGCGCGCGCCCAGCTCGCGCCCCTGATTCCTTCGTTAGGCCCCGAGAAGCTCATTACGGCAGATGGAATGGTCCGCCGCGGGGGCTTCCGGGGCGCGGGGGAGGGGCCCGAGGGCCGCTTGATGAGGCGTCCTGCTGGGTGCTTTATGAACTGTTCGAGCTGACGCGGCCCCCTCCGTCTGCCCCCTCCCCGCCGCCCCCACCCCAACCCACGCCCCGAGATGTATCGCCCTCGTTCACGGAAGTGCGTGCCGCGCGCGCGCCCGTGGATTGCGGCCGCGTGCCCGTGCGCGGGTGGCGACGGCGGCGGCGACGGCGGCGGCGGCGGCGACCGCTCTCTTCGGGCGCCCACACACGCTCATCCGTGTCCAGAATGACGCAGATTTAATTCTGCCACTGCCGCCCTCGGTGTATCAGCGGCGCTCTCTTGCTCCCGCGCTCTCTCCTCGCTGGTTCACTCCAGGCGGAGTTCCAAGAGGCAGGGAAGCCTTTTTACGAGGCTATACGTGTTTAAATCATAGGAAATATTAGTTGTTTTCGTAGTCTTGTTTGTCTTTAAAAACGTTCACCATGTAATTGCAGAACTCCCATCTTCTGAATGTAGAACTCTCTCCGTGATTATGTTTCCCGGAGTGAGTTCACGAGAGATCTATGGCTAGATACCGTCATTTTGTTAACGTTGCCTCGTCTAATGCGAAGTACGTGCGTATTTAATGCATGGATTCCCCAATGCTTAAGTATGATTTTGAACAATTTAAAAGTAAATAAATAAGAGAAGAAGAATATTTGACGAAAGTTAAGAATCCACGGTCTCCGGAGGTAATTCTGCAGTTTGTTGATATCGGTAGGAAAATAAATATCCGTTTTGACGATGAGATTTCTCAATGCTAAAAAAAATTCTTGTGCCTCTCGGATATGTGTGAAAGCAGTTGAGAATAAGAGATTCACCCCGCTATGAAGCTAATTAAATCATAAAACTAAATCATTATAATACGTATAATATCCAATTAGAATACAACGTTCCTTCGATTTCCGCATTTGATGTTCTTGTGTTTCAAAAACCATGGACACTCACATATTATTGCACACAATACATAAAGCCTTTTCTCTAAAAATTACTAAGAAGTAATGAACTCTGTTCGCTTGATGATGAAAGTAAACCGTCACTTTTCACGATTAATATACTTCCTTGATTTTGTCCATTCCATGAAAATTCTAAAGCTTTTAGTCAAAATAAAATATTTTCCTCTAGATCAGACCTGAGGTTCTAACTATGCCCAACTGCGTAACTTGGAATAGAAAGGCTTTTACATAGTACACTTCGACACAGGGCAGCTATGGGTATTCGATTTTCATGTTTTGTAATGCTTCGGATGGCTCTTAGCTTGCGTGTTTGCTTTCCATGAACAAGACCTCGAATTCGATTCTGGGTGGGGACAAGAATAATTTGTAGCTTCTGCAAAAATGCTTAGTATCTCTTGCTGCGGCCGTTCGAAAACTGGTATAGTAGGTGTTGAATAATTGCATTCTACTATGAAAGGTATTACAGGTTGGGTCTGTTTGTGATCCGGTACTTTCTGGCTGAGTTAAGAAAGCAATGGCAATTCATTTGCATTTCAACTATTGAACGTTGGTGCTGAGATCTTCGTTATCAACTACACTATCAGTGATGCATTGCAGATCTACCGCGCCGTCGGGTTGCATCCTAATTGTTTTCTAATCGAGTGTGTTACACGCGTTAATGATGTTTTCCCTTCACAGGCACCGAAGTGGGCTCCGTGCTGACAGCCGTGACCGCCAACGACGTGGATACCAACCCGGCCCTCACGTATTCCTTTTCGGAGGAGGCAGACGGCACGGGCGCAGCGGACAACGACAGCACGTCTGCCTCGGCCCTCGCGACGCGCGCTTTCAGCATCGACCGCTTCAGCGGCAAGTTGACGCTGGTCCGGAGGCTGGACTTCGAGACCCGGCGCGAGTACCGGCTGCGCATCACTGCCTCCGACTCGGCCCACTCGGCTTACACCGTACTCACCATTCGCGTCACCGACGTCAACGACAACCCGCCCGTCTTCCTGCAGCCCTCCTACCAGGCCTCTCTGCCAGGTGAGTGATGCCAGGGCTGCATCTTAAATATTATTAAACTATGGAGTCTACTGCATATGTATTAAAAACATGGGACATGTGTAATTAATATGAATATGAAAATAAACCAAAACATTTGCAATTTTAAAAATCAACAAAATATTTTAATACTTTTGAACTGTAGTAAAATTTGTCTGAAAAATATTGGGAGGACAGGGGCTCCGAGCTCATGCTTTGCGTATGTATTAAGTGTTAATGCATCCATGAGTGAAGTAATTCCGCTGAGAGAACAACCTTCAAACATTTCATGAGCTTCCAAAATTCTTTTCCAGTAAATTGTTGAATTACCATAAATAAAAGTTAACATTAAGCGTTATTTGAATTTTAGTTGACATGAAGTTTGACTGCAAATGAACAACAATAGTATTTATTTTTCAGTAGCTGACTTTTCTGTTGAAATAACTCTACCTCCCTCTCTTTAGCATTAAAAATCTTATAATCATATAAAAATAAATAATATATAATAAATATATTATAAAATCATATAAAAAAAATAACAACCAGTAGGCTTATACCAAATGTACTAAACTGCCATTCTAGATTTGGTATACTTGTTATTTTCAAAAATTGGACTCCTGCTCTTCTCACTCTTAATAAAACAAAAGCTCAATAAAGCTTGCACTGATACAAGGCAGAGAATTATTATATCTTATGATGATTGTTTGAAAGAAATCAAATAATGGAAGTATACATTAAAAAGTTTTATTTCTTCCAAGTGCTGAGATTTATATTTGATTCCAAGTATTTTTACTTCCAATTCTCTAGAAGGTTAATGGAGAAAAAGTTAAAATATTTAAAGACATTTCTGAAGTGTCTGCATATGGCAATTTTTTTCTATCTGTAGTAAAAAATGAAAATTCATGCAGTTCTTTCCTAATTAATGATAAAGATAATTTTTCATTGTGATATGGTTGTACAATATATTATGTACCATACATTTGTAAGTCCAGTTCATTTTTGATCATGATTGTAATATATTTTGTTTTGTATTTTTCAGAAGGAAGCGAACCAGGATATGCACTGCTAACAGTAAATGCAACAGATGCTGATTCTGGAGAAAATGCCAGGGTTCGGTACTCTTTACAAGCGCCTGTTCGTGGATTTAGTGTTGACCACATCAAAGGAATCCTTTTTGCCAATCGAAGTGGAATTGCCCCTGGCACAAGTGATGCTCAACTTGTATTGGTTGCAACAGACAGTGGGCAGCCTCCTTTGTCATCTGTTGCAGCTGTGCGTGTTCGTGTCAGTGATGCATCTAGTGCCCATCCTCGCTTTACTCAAGATGAATACAGGTAAATATCACTGTTTAAAATATTTTGAAACTTGTAACTAGGTCCTTTATTGTACAATTACTCTTAAAAATTTTTATTTTCTGTTTTAGAATAGATAAATATAGATAATTCCTCTCAAGTCAAAAATTAAATCTAACTACTTACTGAAATTCTTTTTACATCTGCTCATATAATACTACACCTTCAGATTATAAAATATTTAATATATTTTAAAAATAAAGTAGCTAAATTTATAGTATTTTAAATATATGCTTTACAATGTTCATTCCCTGTACTATCCTATTTTTAAGAGAATGTGATTGAAATTCAGAAGTAATCAATATTCAAACAAATAATGGAGTAGGACAAGATTTTAAAACTGGTTTCTTTGATATTCTAGGGTACACATTCGTGAAGATGCTCCTTGTGGTACAACTGTCACACGAATTGCATCAGAATTTACTCGAGATGAAACCAGGAATACAGTGTTTTCTATCTTTGATGGCAATGTTGACGGTGTATTCCAGGTTATGAGGTAAATATTTATCATCAGTTTTTGTAATGTTACATTTGTTTCAAAGATTTTTAATGTTTGCTCCTATATACAGAACCATTTACATGTCTCTTTCTTTTTTCAGCCCTAATGGTGATGTAGTATTGCTCAAGACTCTTGATCGTGAAGTCCTCAGTTCTTATAATTTGATAATAGTTGCTGGTGATCAGGGAGCTACTACAAATAATGCATCCATGGTGACAGTTTATGTCACAGTGGATGACGCAAACGACAATGCACCAGCCTTCCAAGAGGAAACATCTGAAGAAGGCTATGAAATAACAATTAGTGAAGCTGTACCCCCTGGACAGTCAGTGTTACATATTGCAGCAATAGATGCTGATCAACCTGGCACTCCAAATGCTGAAGTAGTGTTCGATATTACTTCGGGTAATGATCAAGAACTTTTTATTCTTGATCCTCAGTCAGGAGTTCTTAGTGTGCATCAGTCCCTAGACTATGATTCAGGTGTAACAGAATATACTCTTGTGGTAAGTGCCTCAGACTCTGCGAAACTGCCGAATGATGCACCTTTGTCAACAGTAACAACAGTTCACATTCAGTTGGAAGATGAAAATGATAATGCTCCTCACTTTCCTGTTGCTGAATACTTGGAATTTGTTGGAGAAAATGAAGTAACTGGGACAACTGTCTTCACAGCAAGAGCAACAGATTTGGACAAAGGTGTTTACGGCAAATTGAACTACTCATTAGTGTCGGCTGCTGCTGCTTCAGGTTATACAGATGTGGAAGATTCGTGGAAACTTTTCCGTGTTGATTCTGACACTGGAGTGGTTGTGACAAATGCTGTATTTGACTATGAAGCTAGAAATCGTTATGCTTTTACCTTGCGTGCTAGTGATGTTGGTGGAAGGACTGCTAGTGTACGTGTGAGAGTAGAAATAGAAAGTCGTGATGAATTTCATCCTCAGTTTACAGAAAGAACTTATAGGTTTGTGCTACCTAACTCTGCTGCATCTGGACAATTACCTATTGGATATGTTGTGGGTCATGTGGCAGCCACTGACAGGGATAAAGGCCCTGATGGTCGTGTAGTGTACCAATTGTCAACACAGCACCCATATTTCAAAATCAATAGAACTACTGGTGCCATTATGGTGAGAAAGAAGTTGGACAATACTGCAGCCACACTTGATGCAGGAAGCGACATAAGTCTGATGGTAACAGCCAGCTCAGGTCGGCAAGGTTCCCTTACTAATAAAGCTGTTGTAGAAATAGTACTTGACCCTCAGGCAGACAGAGGTACAAACCTAGCTAGTAGTGCTGCAGCTGATGGAGGACTTATGACAGGATCCAATGTAGTAACAGGAAGCAATGGTAATAATACAACACTTGCTGCTTCATCAGGAGGTTTGGCTGATTGGGCCCTTGGTCTTCTTATAGCTCTCATTCTAATAGTCCTTGCCTTTGGTGCTATATTTTTGTTTTTGCATATGAGAAACAGAAGACATAAGAAGGTCAACAAACCAGCTCTGAGTGCCAGCGCAGCAGTTGGGGGTGTTGGGGGTGATAATTTTGTGGACCCCAGTGCTTTTGACACCATTCCTATTCGTGGAAGTGGTGGTAGTGGTCCGGGTGTTCCAGGTCCTGGCGGTCCCGGACAAGGACCTAACTCACAATTTGGACCACCGAAATACGATGAAATTCCCCCATATGTTGGAGGACCTGTTGTGCATCGCAATAATAACTCAAGCAGCTCCAACTCAGGAGCTGCAACTACATCAGAACTCTCAGGTTCAGAACAGTCAGGATCCAGTGGTAGGGGATCAGCAGAAGACGGTGAAGATGTGGAAGATGAAGAGATTCGTATGATAAATGAAGGTCCTCTACAGCGTGATTCTGGCATACATCGCCAAGGAGATGATGCAGATGATGACAACCTGTCTGATGTATCTGTTCACAATACTCAAGAATATCTCGCAAGACTTGGCATTGTAGACACTACGTCAGGAAGTGCTGGTGCCTCTGGAGTAGCATGCTCTTCATCGCGACGATGTTCTGACTCTCTAGGTGCTTCAGGAACTAGTGGGAAAGATGGACTCCTTCATCATCAGGTGGTACCAATAGACAGTCTTCATATGTTTGATGAAGAAGGCAGTGGAGAAGCTGACATCACTAACCTCATTTACGCTAAGTTGAACAACGTCGGAGGTGGTGCAGGCAGTGGTGCCAGTGATCGTAGCAGTGCGGAAGAGGGGGCTGCAGGAGCCAGTGGAGGGGCAAGCGGAAGTGGAGTTCTCGGGGCAGCAGTTGATCATGTAATGGGTCTGGGGGGATTTGCGGATGTTCAGGGATTGGCTCACGGCAGCACGCATCAACCTTCAATGACTGGATCATTGAGTTCCATAGTACATAGTGAAGAAGAATTGACTGGAAGTTATAACTGGGACTATCTTCTTGATTGGGGGCCTCAGTATCAACCATTAGCACACGTGTTTTCTGAAATTGCCAGACTCAAAGATGACACTGCTTCGGTGCAGAGTACTACAAGTGGTGCTTCTAGCAACAAAGGAATGGGAGGAACCTTGGGAAGTGGAGTTGGTGGCAATAATGCAACTGGCAGTGTTCCTGGAGGAAGTAGTATTGGTGGAGGCAACGTAGGCCTTGGAAAAACCACACTTGCCCCTCACCCTCCAGTAGTTGTGAAGACTGTTCCACCTCCCCTTTTAACAAGTGTTGCTCCTCGATCAATTGCAGCACCTGTATTGGCTTCTCGGTCAGCTGGAGGTCACTCTGCTAGTCATCATGCTTCATCACACCACAATCAACCTAGTGCTACGTCCCAGTTGCTCATGCTGCCACGATCCCCAATCAGCCATGATGCAACAGGTGCTGGGTTCAGTACCTCTGCTGCAATGTCTCCCAGTTTCTCTCCATCTCTTTCACCACTTGCCACCAGGTCGCCATCTATTTCACCGTTGGTGACACCTGGAGTACCAACATCTCATCATGTAGTGTCTTTGCCTCGTCAAACACAGCAGCAGCAACAACAACAGACTCAGCAAGTGCCACAGCAACCATCTCAGTTGCACGTGCAACAGCAACAACAGCAACAGCAGCAGCAACAACAGCAGCAGCAACAGCAGCAACAGCAGCCATCACAGCAACAGCAGCAGCAACAGGCAGCTCTTCAAATTCATCAGCAGCAACATCACTTACAACAGCAACAACAGCAAGCATCAAGATCAGCAGTTGCCGATACTGAATTACGAATTTAAAGTTAGCTTTTCAGAAAATGTACATTTCAATGACTTTTTTTAAAAGTGTGCTGTGTTAATGTGTGCTATAGCTGTGAAGATTGGAGAACATACTGTTCCTCTCAAGAACTGTAACTTCTGAAAAATATTACATGGTATTTCAAATGTTTTTACTTCTGCTAATTGGTATCAATATTCATGAAAGAAGATGAGTAATATTTGTATTTATTTGCCATACAAACCAATGTTGAACATTCACACTTGTGGATGACATATGTAACAAATTGTGCAGTATCACATGGCTTAAAACACATGTTCTTTGAAGTGATACTGTGTAAATAATTAGAAAAGTAGAACAAACATAATACTTGCTTTTATACATTACTGTTCTTCAAATCAGTCAGAAAGTGTGTTGAGAGAGATTTGTTCAGAAGTAATTTTTCCTCGATTCTAAATTTAACTTATTTTCAAGTGAATAAAGGAATACATACATGTGTATAGCAAAGATATTTTGTATCACAAAATGTGTCAAATTACATTCAGTGCAGAAATTTTAATTCATTACTGAAGTGTCATGCTTTTTCAATCAATTTTTCTTCAAAATTATTGTTTGCATACAGATATTGAATTTCTCACCCTGTTTTTGGTGAACATTTAGGTTATCCTACTGACTGAAGTATAGATGAAGCCAAAGGCTTAGTGTATTGCAGTGAATATATAAACATCCATTTTTCACAAAATCATTGAGTAGTAAGCAATTGTGTCTGGCTGTATGTTTGTATGTTTGCATGTGTGTATGTAAATATAGTAATATAAAAGTTCAAGTATGAATTGAAAGAAGTGTACATGACCATTAGAAAACATTTTTGTAAATACGCACGGTTTTATCAGACCTGAAGTGGCATGTATCCTCATGAACAAAACATACATAAACTTTACATCGCATGAAAATAAAATATTGTTTTGTAATTTATTTTATATTCATGCAAAGCGAATTTTTTTACTGTGTGCATACTTGTGTGAAATAAAGTGTTTTGAAGAAAGAAGAACATGTGACATTGAAGAATTTGTGTGAACTCTTCTTCAAGTTACAGAAAAATTAGCAGGTGAATAAAGTGCCATTGGGAAGCAGACATGCTTGACAGATGTATACGATTCCATAGAAAATATTGTAGATGTGTTGAAATCAATAAACCTGTTTGTGATAAAAATGTATGACGTACATATCTTGTGATAGACAATGCTTTTTGTTCGTACATTACATTTGTGCTTGTTTCGTACTCATTAAAAGATAGAAAAATTTTGTGAAACAACAAAAACAGGACTTTCTTTAATACACTGTAGTCAGTTTGGTTCTTGTCAAGTAAAGGTGGCAAACTAAAGTGAAGTTTTATGTATAAAACAATGTACTATGTCCTATAACAGTTTTGTAATCTGTAATAAAATATATTGTACAAAACCGATACCTTTTCCCAGGTATAGAAGAATAAACAAAAGTGAAGTGTCAGATGTGTTTATTAATTATTTTGAAATTCCTTCCTGTAATTTAAAAATTGTAACGAGATGATGCTTTAATATTGTAGTTGGCTTTTGCTGATTTCCAATAGGCAAATTATATATTTATTTGTTTTAAAAAATATTCAATTTCCAGTTTTTTCAAGCAACTTTTAGTGCAAATGCTGAGATACCCCTCATTTTTTCATGTCAGTAAATGCAGTTTTATTCTTTACATTCCTTATGGTTTATACCAATTATTGACATTAATGACTGATTAAATTTTTACATTGGTTTGCGTTTTTGAAAAAGTTCATGATGTTTAAAGTTTTTCAATGTTTTTTATAGAAATTGACCACACTGAACCTGAAAATAATATTAGTTTTCCTTGATCACATCTAGTTTTTGTACTATGAATCCCATATCTACTACGCATTCTGTTATTACCATTAGGACATTTTCTGTTTATAGAGGGTCAATACCTTGATAACAACCGTGTCAACAACAGCCGATTATTTGAAGATAACTGTTAATGGAATTAAACACAAGATAGTTTCAGCAAAATTTTTGTTAATAGAAAAGTATATTAAAAACAAATATGAAAAAGATTGGTACCATCTTACTTCCTTTCTATTTGTGTTTCTTGTGAGTAATAATTGTGAATGACTGAAATAAATGCAGCTATTCCACTTTTCCTTTATTATATTCGAAACATTTTATCCATAAGACAATCTACTTTATAGAAATGATTACTTAAGCACCTTTTGTTTGTGTATGGCTACAGGTTCAATCTCTTTTCACACACCAACAAAAGTCAGTCTTAATATTGAAATATAAAGACTCTCAACATTAATTACCTTGTAATTTTGTCAAGCAAACGGAGCAACATGTTCAATGATCCTTTCCTTCCCTCCACACCATAGGTATACCAAAGGGTAATTGCCTTTATGATTCTCTTGTTCCATTATCTAAACCTACTTAATACATGTTCAACAACATAGTGGAGCAAAGGTCTTGTCCTGATCTCTCAATTTCATATCAAAATAAGCATAATAGCTGGCCTTTACAAATGCTGTACTCCTAATGTTTGATATTTGCCCTGGTAACATCACTTTCACACAAATGTAGCAAAACATAATTGGGTCATTTTTACTTTTTCTATTCACTTTAATTAATGAACTTACATATATTTTTTAACTTGTACTATGTATGCGAGTATACTATAACATGTATACTCAAGTAATTATAACAGTCTGTCTAAAAAAGATATTTCTTATTACCGTAGCATTAACATCTAATACAGACCTCAAATGTCAAAAACATATATTGGCTTGTAAGGAAAAACTGAAGCTGACTCAAAAATACTGATTGCATATTTGAAATCAGCTTGTAAAATGCATGAAGAAACAAATAAAATATTACAGACATAAAAAAATGATGAAGATTAGTGTTATCATTAAATGAAAGAGAGAATGAATTAGGATTATGTAATTTGGCTCCTGTGTGATCCATGTACAATATATATTTTTTATGCAGATAAAATTTGATATGATTATGATTATTACTACAATTTTAATAATAAAAATATCCTTTCATTTTTTTGATAATCAATAAGAATATTTTAGTTAAAAAAGTCTTTATTTTCCGTGCATGACGTCTTGCATTTTAGTTTCATGCATCTTCAGGTGTGAACATTTAATAAAAATAATACACATGTTTACTAATGGAAATAATATATTTGATTTTTTTTTCTTTTTTTTGAAGATATTGAAAAAAGTCTGAAATAAATGTTATAAAGAAAATGAAAATCATTAAAAAATCAAAATTAATTAAAAAAATATATGTAAGTATTAAGTCCAAAATATAAATTAGATGGGAGAGAACTTATCAAAACATGTTTAATTATGTACGTATTATACAACAATAAAACTTCATACATTTTTTTTTTTAAAAAAAGGACAATTCCAATCCCAAAAATAGGAAAATTTCCTTTTATAAAAATATAAACCTGCACTGTATAGAGAGAGAGAGGCAGTTATGAGCAAAGGGAGCAGACTAATGTAAAAAATATACATTATTTTGAATGTACAACAAAGAAAATAAGTAAAAACAATAATTAGAGGGGGAAGGGGGAAGAAAGAGTTCTAAACACAAGGACACCAGTAAAAATGCAAAGGTGCAACCTATCTTAAAATATATACATTTTTATTCTATTCTTATTTTAGAAAGAACAATCATACATGTTAGTGAAAAGATTTGATTTTAACATGGAATTAATGGTCTTTTGATATTTTATTGATTCTTATTAATTATCAAAAAATGAAAAGATACTTATGTTTTATTATTAATATATATTTTTTATCAAAAAGTAAGAATTGCATTTTGAAACATTGCAAAAATTCACATGTCAATGACAGTTTCTCAGCAGAGGGAATGGAGGAATGTCCTCCTCAAATATGATCTTTTCAATGTAATCACAACAACTACAAAAACCTTGTTGTTTAAGGAAACCATAATTTTTTATTTGATAGCTAGAAGGAAATTAACTTGATCAAGATTTAAACTATACACTTTTTAAGTGATGTGGAAAATATTAAAATTGCTTTGAAGAAAAACTATGTAAAGAGAAAAGTTAGCATACTTTATGGTATTGTAGTTAGGAAGTAAGTTATTGTAATTAGAAGAGATTTTTTCCCTTTAAAAGACTTCTTTATATGAAAAATAAACATTTTCCTTTATTTCAAAATTTCAATAGCGTATTTTGAAGCTTAGATTCTTTTATCTGTAAAAACTATCCAAGATATGCACACAGTTCTCTGAAAGTTCAAAATGGCTGTTAACTTTGTTTCAAGTACCGTATGCAACTTGTGAGAAGAATGCAGGAAATTTTATGAAGTGCAGAGGAAATTTCATCCTAGAAATGACATTGTTATCATCAAACTGGATAATCTACAACACAACTCAACTTCAGAAAAAACTAATTCTCTAGGCAGTGAAATAGGGGTTAACTTAAAAAAATGATAATTGTAGTCATTAGAACACAACTTATTATTTCCCAGAAATGTTTTAAATGTATTATTGATTTTAACAAACTCATTAACATATTACTGGACATTGATCACAAAAAATGTAGATATTAACATGGTAGTGTTTTGAAAATTTATTTTCGATTTCCAAAACATGATTACAATACATTCTCTTCTTATGTAGTATGGCGAGGAAGCAACATATTATGTGGTGTCAGACAATTAAGAGAATATAAATGTTGCTTACAAAGCTGAAATCAAATTATTCAACGTATTGATAATATTGTGTTATATATAAATCTTTTTTCATCCTACAATGTATTCATGCCGATGAGCTTCTTAGATATTTCGCAACGAGTACGATTTTTTTCTTAAATTTTCTCTACAATTTATTATTTTCCTGTAACTTAAACGATTTTAATCGGATTTATATAGCGATTTAATTTAGACTTTCTCTTTTCATTTGGACGAAAGTATGATTCTCAATTCTCTAGAGTCTGTAGAAATTCAGATGGCATTTATTCATGATGGCAAAAGCACAATTTAGTGTCATTTTTTTTTGCCACGCGGCATTCTATTGGTGCACACTGCGCCGAGTGCTGTTAACTTTTCTAGAAACGTAAGGCGTGCCCATGGGAATGTTAATAAATGACGTAACTTGACGTTTTGGAATACAGAAGACTGATGGTTCTGGGTGCATCAACTGCTAAGGTCATTAGTCCTGTAAGTGTAATGCATATTATTATCGCGAGAGGTGGCGGTAACATTTCCTCGCTAGCAGGCGAGATCCCACACCGACCTACTTCGGCGTGCGGTGATTTTACCCAACCAGGGTCTCCCACCGCCCCAGCCGGAACAAGTTTTAAGCTCCCAACAAGTGTGCTGTGTATAGTGTACGTGAGTATAAGTGTGTGTATGTAAGAGGTAGGGAAATGACAAGGAAGAGAAAATAACATCGCGCGCGGTCCGTGGCCCGTTTCTTAGAGTAGGTACTGCAAATGCAGAAGAAAGATTGAAAAATAGGAAAGGTGGCTGTTCAGAATGAATTAATGAGAGTGCCTTGGATTGTTTTTACCGGCGCACGCCGAGGCAGCGGGAAGGGAATTATTATTATCGTTATTCACAATGTTCATTTTAATTAATTTTCACATCACTAAAAACCGTTTCCTTTCTCGTCTGCACAATATCATGACTTTTGCAATGGAATTCCTTTCTGTTGTAACTATTCGACTTTCTTTACGCATCATCTATGTCACAAAACGACAGTGGATCGTGGTGTTTCGCAGAGAAGGTAAGGTCGTCGATAAAGCGACCGCGTGTGAGTTCATTTATTTCTTTATCCATCACTCGCACTTTCCTTGTACAATCTGTTACTTATACATGGTTGTAGATGGGTCTGCAATATCCGAAATCTTTTCAATGCCCAAAAATAAAAATGTAATAATTGTTTCGATGATTTTTGACAGTTCGAAGAAAAAATACAAGAAAACAAATTTTTGTGTAGGTGACAAACACTTAAATATTATTTTCTAAACGTGTTATAAAAATTGCAAATAACTCGTAAATTAATCTAATGTCGACAAAACTGTTATTACATAAAATGTTCGCATTTCTAAAGAGATGCCCAGAATGACATCACAACGTTTGACGGGAAAGTGTTGAGTGACAAACTCTGGTGAGCACGTGAGCGTTTCCTAGAGAATTAGTGCGTATTTGGATGTATTATGCGGTTGCCGAGGTTCGTGTTTCCTATTATTTGCTATTTTCAATAATATTTGCTTTCTTTCGGTTTATTTGGGTTTAGTTCTCGTACACAAATATGATTTAAAGAAGCAGTGTTCTATCAGACATACTACGTCAAGTCAACCTTTTCATTTTGAAAATGATTCGAAGTAAATATTATCATGACCTTAGCGATGATGCTAAGGTGGTGCTTTGTAATGAAGTTCTTGAAACATATGGATCCACC